ACCCCTTCACCAAATTTAATAAATTTTGGTATAGTGATAGATTAGGCTTTGGAATAAGATATAAGATATATTTTATCATAAAATTTTAAATTTAAAGCAGTTAAAATAATTTTTGAAAAAATGTTGACGTTATTTTCTTTAAAAACAAATAATAAAGTATAAATTCTCAAAACAGGATAAAGTTAAAAATGTGTTTAGGTAAATTAGTCGAAAAATTTTGGAATTGGCGAGCTATCAAAAGTTTCCGTCTGTTTTCGACCGAAATTATATCACTTTTTGCGTGTAGCTGCTGTTTGCGCTTCCGTCCATTTTACTTTCCGCGCTCGCCACGCTCCGATGGACTTTTGGCGCTGGTCCTACAAATTATGATCGCTTTATTCGTCCAGTCATTGTGCGCGTCGCTCGTCATCGCCGTCGTTTGTCGCCTCGGTCGTTAGCGCGCGCAAAGTAGTTGTTTGTGTTCCGTTCCGTTTCCTGCCTTCGGCCCCCGCTAACGAGCGCGCGCGCGCGCCGCCGCCGTTAATCAGGCGGCAGTTAAAACTTTCGCGCGCGATGCCAAACTTTTCCGCCGGCGCTTCTTAATTTACGTTTATATAAATTTCACAATCCGACCAACACAGCACACACCCAGCACGACAACTCGTATTACAACTCTCGAGTGGAAAAGCAGGCGGAGGTTTTTGTCATTTTGTCAAGACATCAACGACGTTTTCTAAACAGCGACGGAAAAGAACAAATAAAGCTATGAGGGAGGACAAAATCCTGCTGCTGCTTTATTCAACGAGTGAAAGCAAAAAGATCCAAGAACAAAGTTTAAGTCTTAAATGAAAATATGAGAAGCGGAAAACGCGCTGGACCAATTACGACATTCCATTGAAAAATTGAAAAATAAAAAAAAATCGCAAAAATTCTTTGCGTTTATTTCCCAAAAAGTAAAACGATAAAACTGTTGATGTTATTGATGACAAACGGCACTTGTTCTTTCTCCCTGAACCAATTCAGGTCGTCGCGAATATGGCTGCCTTTCTACCGGAAAATGGTCGCTGCTGCCATCGGCCGCATTTACATCTACGCTCCCGAAGGATGTTGACAACATGGCGCACGGGACACGCTCCAGCACGAATCAATTGTTCACTGGCGCGCCAGACGCCAGACGGTGACAAACAAGTTTAACCGACGACGCCGTTCCGATAAGAAATCAACCAAAAATACCACTTTTACATACAAACAAACATAAACAATGCATAATTCATTCAATTTGCTTAAATAAGGTTATGTTGTTATACAGCTACAGTGTAATGGTGTACCTAAGTAATGTTAAACGCAGCGCCATCTGTCCTTCACTGGTCTAATTAAACTAAACTAGTTTCGGAAGCGGGTTAGAATAATTGAATCGTGTTCGTGGCGCGCAAGTCCAAAGCTACAATTTGTAACTTGGTTACGATTAACTTCGTTCGAAAGTTTCACTCTGTCCGTTCAACCAGCTATTTAGTTTAGTTATTTAGTTAGCTAACTAAATAAATGATTTTTCACGCATTCAAAGTTAAAAGTTTTTGAAAATTTGAAGAAATATTTTATTCATTTTGTTTGGTGGTTTGTGGTTGGAGAAATATTTGAAAGTGTAAACTGCTTTGTCGTTGCGTTCAAACAATTTACATCTTTATTCAAATGGTTTTATTCAAAGTATTTGGATGGTGCGGGTGTTTCTTGTTGTGGCCGTGTGGTTCGCCGCCGGTTTGCGGTCGAGGAGGCAGCGATAACTTTTTGTTGTTACAGATTTATGCGCGAGTGCTACGTAATTTATGTGGTTGGTATCTTTTCGGTTTCACATCCGGTTTCGTTTTGGGCGATAGATAAATATTATATATTTGTTTATTATTATACTGTCATACCTTGAATATAATAATTTTTATATTTTTCAATCTTTAAAAGCAAAAATATTGAATTGATAACATAAAAAGCGAGTATTCTCTCATCATCAATACGATTAAGTACAAAATGTGAATATTTGTATGTTTGTTTTCTCTTCACGCCTAAACCACTTCACCAATTTTGATAAATTTTTGTATAGTGATAAATTAGGCCCTGGAAGAGGATATAAGTTACTTTTTTTTCGCAAAAAATCAAATTTAAATAGTTTTAAAGTTATATTTTTGTTTTGAGTTATAGAAAAATATGAAAAGCTATTTTTCTGTTCTTGCCGATACTCTTAGATATAAAATAGACAAGTAAATAGCAAAAACACATAAAAATTGTTTGTTTGTTTCCTCTTCACGCCTAAACTACTTCACCAAATTTAATAAATTTTGGTATTATGATCAATTTTGCTTTGAAAAAGGACATGAAACACTTTTTATTGCAAAATTTTAAGTTTAAATACGTTAAACTTACATTTTTATCTAGAGTAATAGATAAATATTACATTTTTATTTATTATCCTAGTGTATTATCACGTATAATCTAATTTTCATATTTTTCTATGTTTGTTTATCAAAAATAATAAATTGATTAAATAATTTGTACACAAACAGATTTAAACCTATGCCAACGTGAAATCAGGTTATCCCGAACACAGGTTAGTGATATTTTCAGGCGTAAATGAATGATGTACAGCATAACCCCCGGAAGCAAACAGATCGTTCGCGTAAATTCATTTTACTTTGCCGCGGCACGATGTAATGGTTTCTCTCGCAATTTTTGTCGACACGCTGAAAAACGCGCACAAAGCAAATTGCGAAAATGTTTTTTTCACGTGTTATCAAAACATGCAATTAATTAATTGCTTTCATTCGAGTTGCGTTGTTTTCCGTATCAATTTAAAAATTAAAAGCTTTTTTATTAAAATATTTATACGGGTGTAAATTTCACAGCGCAGGTAGGTAAAGATTAAAGTAAAGTAACTTATAGTAATTACCAAGATGTGCCCTAGAAGCCCTCGACTAGACAAAAACGAGGATTATGCGATTATGATAATTAAATAGTCCCTAAGGATGGCTAGGTTTACGGGGGCAGGTTGCGGTAATGAGCGCGCTCTTTGCACAAGACGGGAAATGGGAAATAGTGAACGAACATGATTTTCACATTTGCGTCCTCGCGTGCGCACATTTCTCACCGGCGTTGGTTAATGTGGTCACACACGACGCTGGCGACGAGAATAGATGAAGCAAATGCATTCGGAATGTTTAATTCGGCATAGATCATCCAAAAACCATTCCGGGAGCGCTGGTTTGAGGTTAGGTCATAAACTACGAGTATATGCGCTAGTGCTCATGCGCACATCATGAAATACAAAATCATAACTCGTTTTAAATCTCTTTAGCGCAGAAACAATGAAAAAATTCAGCAATAAATTGCGTTAAACTGCTAACCGGTTGAGAACGTGTAATGCGCGTGCTAAAGTTTTACACCTGAAGACGTCCGAAAGTTCGCGACGCAAAGAAAGCCGTGAGTTATCACGACATTCTTGGCGTGCCGTCTTGGCGCCTAGCGAAAAACTATTCAATCCTTTATTCTTTACGGCGCGCCCCCATCGTGGGCATGCATTTATTTCCATTCGGGCGTGCAGTGTGGAAATTTATTGCGCTGGGGATTTCCTTGCGTCGCTTGAGTAATGGCGCATTAATATGATATTAACCAAAGAGTGTAAATAAATCGAATAATAATATGTAGCGGAAAATAGTAAAAAAATGGCAAAATTTTAATGAAACGCGCTTGCAACGTGGAAATAAAATGATTAAAAATGCATTTTATGAATAAAATAACAAAGAAATTCAATAACAGCGCATAGATTATAAAATATTGGAAGTGAAAACAAAAAATATTCCAGGAATAATATTTGTGAAGAATTTGTGCAAATTACGTGGAAATTTTATATTTTTGGCTATAAACTAAGAAAATTAATAAATAAAAATAGAAAATGTCGTTTTTTCTGCTATAAAGCACTTTTATTTTCGGTTATTTGGATTTTTGTGTTGAAAGTTTATTACATTTCCGCAACTTTCATCCCCGGGATATACGTTTATCCCTCTATCCTCAATATTCACCAACAGGAAGAATGCGAAACGTAGCCGGCTTCCTGCGGGAAGCAATCACACTTGCAGGAAGCACTCGAAACATTCGCGAGGATCCAAACATCCTCGAATACGTCGCAAAACACAATTTTCCCCGATTTCCTGTCTCGCTCACTTGCTCAGCGCAAAAGAGTTGAAAATATTGAAGAAGTAGCCGAGAAACACTGGAAATTGTATTTATGCGCAATCGTCGAAGATGGCGCGCGGACGCAGGCGACGCGAAAATATCCCTTGATTCGAATATCGAGGATGAGTTTGCCCCACTTGTTGAGAGGACCATTACTCAACCGGAAGCAGGCGAGAGAAGGGCGGCAAGAAGCCGAAAGATACTGCGAGCGTCGGCGGAATAACGGCAACTATTGGCTAATGTTGAATACTTGAATTCTTCCCGGAGAGTTTTAGGAAGTAGCTTTGGATTCAGCACGCGTTCGTCGGGCGCGAACGCGAATTGGAATACAATAACTGCACGTACGATAAACACACGAACGGAGCGGAGTGTGGAAATAGGCTGATCGAAGAAAATACACAATGGGAAAGCTCCGCCACTCCAAGACTACGTAAACAACATTGAATTATGTACTTACTTTTAAGATTTACTTCGCTTCTTCGGGCGAGTTGTGGATTTAAACGTGCTATTATGTGACTATTAGGTGTGAGTGTTCGCATCGCGCGCGTTTTGTTGCAGTGCTACCAACTGCTGGTGATTAATTTTGTAGCGTAGTCATGAAAATATTCAAACGTGATTTTTGTAAATTCGTGTTTTAAGCGTTATTAACCGCTTAATATTATATCAATGAACTTTGTTTTAAACTACATTTAATATAATTTAATATTTTTGTGTAGATTATAAGTATTTAATTAGTTTTAAACAATTTTAGTGGTGATTTGTTTCGTCGCGTTGTCACCCTAACTAGTAACGCGTAGGATCACGTACCTACGTTTGACAGAACGTTCTGTCGGTTCTGTCATTATGTGATTTCAAAGTGAAGCTGAAGTAGTGAAGAAATGTGCAATGTAATTACCTGCAACAAAGAAATGCAAATTAATAACTGGTGAGTAATAAAACATTTAATATTCTTGCAAGATTTACTGCCAAACTACCGAAACAATTTAAATATCTTGACTTGTTTTATTTTCTTGTTTTCTACGAGTTTATATAAGAGTTTTAGTTTTTCTTCGTGCGACTTTTATTTTATGATCTGCCTGCATGTTGTTTTACGGCGAATTATGGCCGTTTGTCACATTTTCTCATTCCTGTAGCATTCGCAGGCGTTTTTTAACAGCCTCTCGCGTATTTGATATATCGGCGAGTTATGCCCTCATGCGCCGCCATAAATCTCGCACGTTTCCGGCATTTTCTACGTTTGCACCTTGCCCGCATTTCAGACTTTGATAAAAGCGTTATTAGTCATTTCTTTTATTTACATTTTACGCTGCTAATGCTTGCGCCCTGCCTGCATGCGCGCATCAATGTGGAATACTTTATTGTTATTTTTTTGGAGGGTGCTCTTTTTCGGGACGTAGGTGCGCGTTTGTCTAGTGAGTTCACGTCGACGCAATAAACGTGCGGCAATAAAAAGCAACACGTAAACTTCGGCGTGCGCGCGCGATTTTTACGATACGAATCGCGCTATCAATGCCTTCGCCTTTCGCTCTTGTTCGCGTGTTCAATACACAATGCCAGCAGTCTTGTAGTGGCTCTGGAGAGGTGAAAAAATAGGACTTTTTGCTTTCGGCTTGAAGTCGAAGCAATAACTCTCACGCCGGGCGCCCTCTGCTCTCCGATAATAAGAAAACGCTTAATTAACCCCGAGAGGATTGAGCTGCGCACGGTGGTCTCAATAAAATTGCGATAATAAGTCAGTGGCGGAAACTTCCAGTCTCTGCGCAAAAAGCCAAAATTGCAGGGTTACGCCAACACGTTCATAACACAAAACAACGTCATAAAATCCTCAGCTTTTAATATCTAGTAATAAATCTAATAAACCAAAACGGAAGGTACGAGCGAATAAAAAATAATTTATAAGCTTCATAAGGACACAGTGTGTCCGATTTTTTTTACTGCTTAACAACTTCGACACTATGAAAGTCATCACTTTCTTTTTCCTTTGGTAAAAAATCCTTTTAGTTTCATGGTAGATCGAAATCCGTCGTGCCGTTTAGAAAATCCTTAACGTATTTTACTCTAGGCGACTGCACATTGTCGATTGGAAAGTGCCCAAAGTGGGAGAACTCGAAAAACTGGGGAAGCGCGCGCAAAAAAGGGCGAAAAGTAATTTTTATGAGTTATAGCCTCGTTGACAGGCGTTGCAGGAAAGTTTAAACGGTTTTTACATGCGATTCGAAAGATACAGGTACGCATTTGCATTGAAAACCTTGAAAAAAGTTTTCATAATCAAGTTTAAAAGTGAACAGTGGAAAAAATCGTGGCTGAAGACGGTTCTGTTTAATGGAAAAGTTATCAACTTATGTTGAACATCAATGTGTTCGAAAGTGTAACTTATGCATAAAGTTTCCCAGCGAAAAAACGCGCAACTTGGCGCAAAGTCGAATTCATTGACGTCGCGAACATTTTACGCACCCGAAAACGGAAAAAAGGGAAAAATTTAATGGAAATTCGGCTTTTAATCGCACTGTACTTTGGGAATAAAAGTAAGTAAAAAAAGAAATATCCTGAATGGCATTTCGATATTAGAAGAATTAAACTTTTTTTACGTTTCTTGTTGTTTTTTTATGGCTGTACCAATATCGCCAAAGGTTTTCGTGCTTTGTGCTTCGATTTTCACGTAATTGTTCCGAGTTTCGAGCATTTCCTGTGCAAACACGCAATAATCCTGCAAATGGTCAGGCAACGACACAAAAGCTTTTGGAAATTTGTGCGCATAACATTCGCAATTCGCCATTTTCGGGCCGGCGAATTGCTTTGAGCAAGAAGTTGAGCGCACGTGAGCACACAACACGCGTAAGACGATGCTGGCGGAATGGATTGAAGGCTGGAACTGCGCAACATCGATGGAAAGCTTTATGGTGAGACGAGACCATAACGGGCGCCTTGCAGAGAAAGGAAGGAAGGCCGTTGCCGTTGGCGTGTCCGGATCGTTTCACTTTCACTGTGTTTGGCGTTTCCCAGCGCGCTCGCAGCTTGTGCACATCGAACATTTTCCGGGCGGTGGAGTGAAGAGAGAGAAAGTAAAGATGGAAGGCAGTGGGAAACTAAGATGAACCGAAACTGTTATGGAGATTACTACCTTACTAGTAGGAAGCTTTCTGGGGGCCTTGCAAGACCTTGCTCACGTCGTGCCGAAGCCTATAACGAGCGTCGAGCGCGTTTCTTTCGCCCCATCGCTCAGCCAAGCGCTTTCATTCACACTGTAGTCTTCTATCATGAAGGAGGAATACTGTACCAAGATTTCTTAGTGCAGGAACATAGAAAATTTATTTTTTTACTGCGGTTAATAGCAAAATTTTAAAGCCAAAGTAAAAAAAGTCAAAAAATGTTATTTTTGGCTAAAATTACCAAAATTTTGCGTTAAAAAGATGAAGAAATTGATTCTAAAGAGAATAGTATACTTGCCAAAGTTGTGCACGTAATATTTTTGGAGATATTTGAGTTTTTAAAAAAGTTTTATGCATTTTTCTAGCAAAAATGAAGAAAATTTTAGGTTATTTTGATACATTGATATTCCATCAAAAAGAAAATTTAATTTTTCATCATTTTGGAGTTTTTTCCTGCTTTTTTCTTTTTAATTTTAGCAAAAATCAATATTTTCCAACTTTCCCCTTAAAACACCTCCGTTAAAATGATCTATTACCAATGTGTCACTATCAAGAGAGCAATTTAATTCTCCAATATAACAAGTTTACGCAACCAACTTATAAGTGAAGCTAGTGATGCTAGTTTTAATAGAAACTGGGAACGAGAAACGTAAAACACAGCGCGCATAAGATGAATAACGTTATTAGTTAGTTGCTTTTATACTGCACTCTGCACTTTGTCGAAACCCACGAAGGAATCCACCGTAGCGACCACCTAACGAAATCGACGATGGAAAATATACACACTACACTGCAAGTAGTTGTGCCTCGTAGTGGCACGAAGGTTTGAACAACGCTCGGGGAACATTTGCGGTTACACACCGTGCGTATAGTTGGCGCACGGCGCACGGGAAAGCCATTAACAATGCTTCGAAGTTGCGCAATAACGAAATTTGCAGCGGCGTGCCGTGCAGCGCATAAGTTCTAAATACTTTGTAATGAATTTCGTCGATTTGCCGTTTGCACCTGAACCCCACATTGAAAACGGCGGCGCGGAGCAGTGGTGAGGAACGTGGCTGGCAAGTTGTAGAGGAGAGCTATTCTTACCGCAAGCCAACTATAACACAACTTAAACAGATGTAGTTAATTGTGTTGCAGCAATACAAAAAGTAAGCAACAGAAACATGGTTAAAGTACTTCGACGTTTTCTTTGATTTTTTAACCTCAAAAAATACAAAACTTGGGCATCAACAACGTTTTTTAGTATTTTCGCACAAAAAACAACATTTTGAGCCGAAAATTACAATAAAATGAAGAAAAACAAAGAGAAAAATAAAGAAAAATTGAATTATACAAGACATTTTTTGTTAAACTTGCCAAATCTTCAATTAAATGGTTTTTTTTTCTTATATTTTTGGATTATAATTAAAAAATTAAAGATTTTGGCGCATGAAAAACATAACCACACCTAAAGAAGCTGCCATTTTGATTTTTTAACTTAAAAAAATACAAAATAGTACAAAACTTGAGCAACAACATCATTTTTTCCGATATTTGCACAAAAAAAATTTTAGGCCCAAAAATTTCAACAAAATGAAGAAAAACCAAATAAAAAATAAAGAAAAATTGAATTAAATAATTAATGTAATGTTAAACTTGAAAAACCTTCAATTAAAACGTCTTTTCTAGACATTTTTCTTGAATAATTACATAATTTAAGGTTTTGGCCATTTTAAGAAGACTTTTCTTTGTGTTACAGCAATAAAACTGATAATCAACATAACCACACCTAAAGTACCTGCCATTTTGATTTTTTAACCTCTAAAATACAAAATAGCCGTTACAAAGCTTGACCATCAACAATCCTTTTCTTTTTTTTAACCTAAAAAACTCTTTGTGTCCCTAACCGACAGTAACAAACCGAGTGTTTACCAAACAGCCATTCGTTACCATACCCCACACGTTTTCGGAATTTTTCAATGCATGCATACGCGTTGATGATGATGAAACTCAGTTTGAAAAAAGGCTGCAAAAAAAGCGCACCGGATGTGCGCGAACAATACAAATGTTTGCCGCACGTTACGAGCGCCGATTGAAAACAACGCCCTCGTAAAACGCCGCTTCAACACGCACGATTGGCAACAGCTTGTCGTTTTTCTTCCTTAAACAAAGAGGACCCCGTCAAATTGATTAGTGTGGCAATCATTCATTGGACGCATAGAAAACGATGAAAACTTTGATTTATATTCATATTTATTTCCTGCTGGGTCATCAGGAGCAGAGTGGCGCAGTGGAAGCGTGCTGGGCCCATAACCCAGAGGTCCGTGGATCGAAACCACGCTCTGCTAACAAGGAATCTTTTATTTTTTGATTATTTTTTAGTTTTTTTCTGGAATTTTAACTGTTTTAGCAATTTATTTGAGTTGATTAAGACATAAATGAGTTAAGTCAAGATTCATAGTAAATTAAGTTGTAGTCATCTTGTTTCTATGAAGGATAAAACAGTCTAGACACTCTAGACGGGAAGCAGGATGTGTAGCTACCTAATAAACTGTCTTCTAACACGATTAAGACAAAGTTTGGGGGCTGATCCTTTCACCATCTTACATCTAACACGCGTCAACTTAACTCTGTCATGGAATTTCCTCCAGTTAAACAAAACAACAACCAAAATACTTGTTTTGAAATTCTTCAGATAATTTTATTTATTTTTTAACGTATGCAACCAAACAGTCAATAATTCATGATTTCGAGTGACAATTGAAGTTATATTGGAACTAATGCAGTGCAAATTGGA